TTCTAAGAAATAAGCCTACTTACTATGTACACTTGGGAGTTCCTAGTTGGTGCAAATAGTTAAGCCCTCAACTACTAGCTGAAAGGTTGATTGATGGTTTGCACCCACCCAGAGACACCTCAGAATACAGGCCTGGTGATCTGCTCTGTAAGGACACAGTCTAGAAAACTCCACTGAGTTCAGTTCTTATGCTGATCTGCTTGGGTTGTTATGAGTCAGAACAATTCAATAATAAGCAAGAACAACAATACTATGCAAACCTATTTCATAAACCTACCTCTATCAAATTTATTCCAATTCATAATGACCCTAAAGACAGAGAACTGCCTTGTAAGGCTCCAAGGCTGAACTCTTTTTTTTTTTTTTTTAATTTTAAGAGAGAGAGAGAGAGAGTGTGTGTACTGTCAAATCAGATCTGACTGGTACAGGAGGAGATTGCCCTTCCTTCTGCAGCAGAGCATCTGGTGGATTTGAACCACATACAAGGCTGTACTCTTTATGAGAGCAGACACCCCCTCAACTTTCTCCAACAGAGCAGCTGGTGCATTCAAACCACTGACCTTTCAGTTAGCAAGTGCTTATTTGCTATTCTACCAGGGCCAAGAGTATTCTTCCTAAATAATAACTAGGTAACCTTTGGGAGCTCTGGTGGCTTAGTGGTAAGGAATTGCACTGCCAACACAAAGGTACACATTTTGAATCCACAAGCTGCTCAGCAGGAGAGAGATGGGCAAACTCCTCCCGTGTGATTTACTGCCTCTGAAAACCTGCTAGAGGGTCAGCTAATGGTTCAGTTCCAACGCGATGGTACTCAACCACCACCACCGTTAGTGCATCTTATTCAGGGTGTACTAAGATGTAAAAGGTCACTCCGGTGGTGCAGTTCATGGGGAGCTGCACTGCTAACCTAGGGCTGCAGACTCTCTGGCAATTCAAATCCACCTGCTGCTCCTGAGGAGAAAAAATGGGCAATCTCCCCTTAATTCCATCGACAGCCTCTGAAAACTTGTTGGAGTGAGTTCTGACAGCAATGAGATAATTGTTTGCCTGTTTGGGCTTTGGCTGCTTTGGTTTTGGAGCTTTTCTTTGAAAAAAATAAAGAATAAAGTATAAAGTCTGTGTCTATCTTATGGCTTCTTCACACTTAAACTCTTTCAATATCTGACATAGATTTGGCAGATACCAATCAATAATGTCATAAATAAAATGAAAGATTATTTTAAAGTATCACAATGACACCATTTCCCCCAAGTTCATGTGCTACCCTGACCATAGTGGTTCAACTGTCGCTCATCAAAACACTAGGCAGAAAATGCGGAGCTGCCTCCTGGCAGGGGCAGCAGGTCTGCAGTGGCCGAAACACACTCTCCTGTCTGGATGGCCCACACACCAGAGCTCCCCTGTGTGAACGGACCATGGGATAAAGGTCCAACCCACTGACCAACTAACCACAGTGGGAATCTGACCAGGAGACAAACAGAAAAGCACAGCCTCTAAAACAATGCACAAAGCATCACATCCCGAAGATGTCACTCTGACAAAAGGGTGGAAAAGCCATTTCATGGTCAGAAATACATGTCTGAGAAAGTGCCTGGGGCAGGGGTAAAGTTACCTCTCAAAGCAAGGATGTCACTTTGAGACCTCCCGTGTGCCTGGCCTAAGCTGTGGTATTTTTCAATAACCTTATATCCATGGGAAAGTGGGACAGGAAAGGAACAGAGAACGAGAGAAGAAGAAAGGATGCATTTAAAAATTGTGGTGGAAAATAATGACATACCATGGGGTGTCAGAGAACAAGTATTAGTGTTAGAAGAAACTCAACTATAATGCTCCTTAGAAGAGAAGATGGCGACTCTGCGGCAGACTTATTTTAGACACGTAATCAGGAAAGACCAATCATGTAGATGATGTCAGAAAAGAAGATCATCTTTAGTCGAGAAGGAGAGTAAAAATGAGGGAAGACTGCAATGAGGTAGAATGACACAGCAGCTACAACAATGGGCTCAAACATACCAAAAACCGTAAGGACAAGATGTAGCAATACTTCATTCCATGAAGACTAGAAAAACTATGCAAGAAAGGCCTAGAAAACTATGGGATAATTCTACTCTGTCACATGGGGTCACTATATGTTGAAACCAACTTACAGCAAACAAGATAAACCAGGCAAACAACAAATATTACTGCTAATATACCACAATAATAGTGTATGCTTCCATACAGATAAGATCGTGTAAGATCAAGTACAACACTAGTTCTAGGAATATTTTGGACTTATTCTTGCAAAATAGCCAGTCATATATCTCATTATATAAAATAATAACATTATGTAAAGGAGCTCTGGTGGCCTAATGACAAGAAATTGCACTGCAATCACGAAGGCACACAGTTTGAATCCACCAGCTGCTCCAGGGAGAAGTATGGTCAATTTCCTCCCATGCAATTAACTGCCTCTGAAAACCCACAGGAGGCTCAGCTTTGGGTAGGTTCTGACAAAATGGTACACACCGGTAACAAGTATATTTCATCTACTTCTTGTGGCCCTTCATTAACAATTTTGGTTTCTTTTAGCACCAAGGCGATCTCTTCAAGTTCCTGGAGTTCCCCTGAAGCATCTCACAGTCTGACTTCCTCTCAGCTTCAGTGAGTAATTTTATTTTCATGTTATAAGGAGCAGAGGTGAGCACGGGTACATCTCTGGTGAGCTGTGGTGAGCAAGAGCTATTCCTCCAGCCTTTTCTCTGTGCTTGGCACTGTAAGGAAAGGGATGAGGAAGAATTCAAAATCAAAGCCATTTCTTTCTCCACGCTCTGTCAGACAAGAGGAGAAATGAAGGTTCCTAAGCATTGTCAGGAAAAGCTAAAGTATATTTATCTTCTGTAAAAATGAAAACTTTTAATCCTACAGAAGAGTCTGCCCAAGTAAGGCCAAGCTCAGCTACAGTTTGCCACAGATTTAATGTTTGCTACATATTTTTTACAGACCCATGTAGTTTAAGACAAATTTTCATCAAATAAAAAAAAGTTCACATAAAACATAAAAATTTGAACTTAAAAATAACTTAATGCTTGAAAGCACTACAGCAGTGTTTTATGAACACTTTTTTTTTAATCCTAAAACACAGGCTCACCAAAACCTCAAAATCATAGCCATCAAGTCAGAATTAATTCACCTGACCCACTAGTGGGTTTCCTATGCTGTGAAGTGCTCGGGGAGAGGAGCTTGCCCATATTTCTCCTGTGAACCCTCTGACGGATTCCAACGCCCAGAGATGTGTGGCCTTTACATCAGCAGCAGTGCAACTCCCTATGGACTTTGCCACTGGAGCTCCCCAGACTCACCAGGGCCAGGGGTAAATCCAGTCCTACAGTCAGGCACAGGAGCCTCAGTTTTCTCCCTTTAAAGATGTTTTTGCTTCAAGGTGACACACTGCCCACAAAAGGCTCAGACCATATTCCAATATTCCCAGACTGTTCCAACAAAACAGTATTCTTCACAATTGTCCACAGAAACAGTAAAATGGCTGAAGGAGCTAATATTTTTCTAACTGAACTTCACACTCCCTATAATCTCTTGTTAAATATCATGTCTGGTTTTTTTTTAATTTATAAAATAAAGACGTTTTCACAGCTTATCCCTTTAACCAATCATGAACACAGTACATATATAACATATGTAGCCAGCCTGAGTCGGAATCAACTAAACGGCACTGACAGTGACAATAACACCCCTTCAGAATGGTAGAGTAAGGAACAGAACAGAATAGTATGTCGTCGTGTACATCAAGTCAGAATCGACCATAACATGAGAAGAGATTGCCCATCTTTATCCTGTGGAGCAGCTGGTGGATTCAACTTGTATACCTTTGGGTCAAGTCCATACTTCCTTACCACTAACCCATCAGAGTTGTATAGTATAGTATGTATAGTATAGTATAGTATAGTACAGTACATTATAGTAGGTATGGTATGGTATGGTAGTCTATGAGAGATAATAAGGATGGCACAGGATAGGGCAAGATCTGTTGTTCAGAGGGTCACTTTAAGTCATAATCGAGTCAATGGCTCCTAATAAAGACAACAATCAGTATAGAATAGCATTTACTTTAGTAGCAAAGTATTATCACAACTTGATAACAAGCAGTGACTGCTCCTTCTACAAGAATAAGACATTTTCCTTCTATACTGGGAAGTTTGGAGAAAGGGAGAGAAAGTAAAGCCAGTAAAAAGCATGGCACTCTAAGAGAAATAGTCCTCCCTTGTGCAGTAAGTGTTAGTCTCATGTTGAGGGAAGATGTGCTTCTTTCCCATTCCTTCCACAATTCTACCTCTTAAATTATCTAAGTATACAGTAAGGCAATTTATTAATACTGATTAGCTTGTGAGCTAAGAAATTCCTTTCATCTGTTTTGACTTTTTAACCTTCGGTCAAAGTTCTGGACACAGAAGGACTTAAAAAGAAAGATTTTAAGACAAGTGAACTTTAAACATCCAAACACAATTACAGAGTGCTAAAATATGTATTGGGTGGGAACATAACTACACAGGTTTTCAGACTACACAACTCCCAGTTATTTCAATCTAACACAGTTTGCATGTCATTTAATTGTGCTATTCTAATACCCCTGAAAAACACCTTAAATGAATGTTTAACATTAATTCCAATAGTACAAGTGATGCATCATAATCTGATGTTGAGCAATAAGTCACTACCTATCTTTTTTTTTATAATATTTTCCCACACAAAGGGACATTCTGAAAAACCCTAATAACAGAAAGAGAATCAAAGTACTCAGACCCCCCATTCCTAAGCAGACCAAGTCATATTAGTTTAAAAAACTGCATTAAATGTCTCTTCCTACATGTTAACTCTCCAAGAACTACTAGTTTTAGTCAGATGCTCTGCTCTATAATCCTAGTCCTGCCTCTCACCACTGGTTAGAGAATAACCAGCAGCCACAGGCCTGCTCTGGCCATGCAGACAGTCTGGTCAGAACTCACCCGTCCAGAAGGCTCATTGTGGTGGGTGTCACTTCAGCAAACAGAATTATTTTTCCAAGATGCTCTGTCTTCAGATTTTGCCGGTAGATCTCTAAGTTAAAATTTTCTGACGAGAAGCCCTCCCAGTCAGTAACAACAGGGAAAGATGATGGAGTGATTTCTGTATCAGATGTGCAGGACAGAACAAATTTAAGGGAGACCTTGCTGGACTTTATTACGCCTTCAGGGTCCACATGTTTCTCCAGCCACTGCATAAGAGGATTCCAAGTTTCCTGTGTTGTGAAAAAAAAAAAAAAAGGAAAAGGTCCAATTTGGCATCACATTGGATGATAGCAGTTTTCCTTAAAATGCTCTTTTGGTAATATATGTATTTGCTAATACACAACAAAAAAACATTAGATGGATACATTCTGGACATGTAAAACTACGACATAAGGTGATAATAAATCCATGCTTGGTTGTTGTTATTATGTGCTGTTGAGTCACCTGCAACTCACAGCAACCTAATGTACAATAGCCCTGAAACCTGCTATATCCTGTGCCAACCTTACTGTCTCTGACACACCTACCTTCATTACCACAGTCACTGAACCAATCTATTTCATAGAGGTTCTTTCTCTCTTGTCCTGTCACTCAAACTTTTCAACCATTAAGCCCTTCACAAAGGACTGGTCCCCCTTTACAACATGCCCAAAGTATGTCAAATGTAGCCTCAGAATCCTTGCCTCCAAGGAGCAGCCTGGTTTCACCTCTTTGTTCTCCTGCTAGTCGTCCATGGTACATTCAATACTCTCCTCCAGCTCAATAGCTCAAAGGTTTCATCAATTCTCTTCCCTACTCATTGTCTACCTTTTAACGCATAGCAAGTAACTGAGAAGACTCTGGCCTGGATCAGGTGCACCTTAGACTCCAGACTGACGTTGTTGCTCTTCAGTACTCTGGAGAAGTCCCTGACAGTGGATTTTCCCAATGCAATTCATCTTGTGATTTTCTAGCTGCTGGTACCAGGACTGCTGATTGTGACGCCAAGCAAACCAAAGCTGTTAACAATCTCAGTCTCTTCACCATATATCATGATTCTGCCAAATCGGCACAGTGGTGAAAATCTTTTTCTTGATGTTGACCTTCAATCCATATTGAAGGCTAAATCCTTGACCTTCTGCAGCTAGCACTTCAGGTCCTCTGTTTCAAAAAGCAACACTGTATCATCTGCATAACACAGTTGTTTATGAGTCTTCCTCCAATCTTGATGCCACCTATCTCCTTATAGAGCCCAGCCTCCCAGATGATCTGTTTTGCATATAGTTGAAAAGGTATGGAGATAGAACACATCCCGGGCATAAATCCTTCCCAATTTTGAACCATGCAGTGTTTCCTTGCTCTGTCCTGATGACTGCCTCCTAGTGCAAGTATAGGCTTTGAATGTACAAAATCAAGTGTTCTGGGATTCCCATTATTCTCATAGTTAGCCACAGTTTGTTGTGATTCACACAGTCAAATGCCTTTGCCTAATCAGTGAAACACAGACATTCCTCTGGTACTCTCTGCTTTCAGCCAGGATCCATCTAACATTAGCTATAATATCTACACTTACACTATAAAAAAATAAACCGTTTAGAAACCAGTATCTAAAGAAATCCTCAGCAACAACCAAAATCAAGTTGTCTTTTAATTGATTCAGATTTGTGGCAATCCTGCAGGACAGAATAAAAGAAATGCCTTGGGCTCTCAAAAAGGAAGGAAATGGACTTCAGAATGGTAAGAAAATATGTTTCTACTCTTTAAAGCCACCAATCTGTGGCATTTGTGTTACAGCAACCCAAGAAAACTTGGACCAATGGTTTAAGATGTTAGGGGAAATGAGGAGCCAAAATAAGCCCCCAGGGTTTTTTCTGCTAAACACATGTTAGAGCAGGGATGGAGTTCAGTATCTAAAACAGGGAATGCCTCAGTGGGAGTAGCTTTGGAGAGGAAGAGTGAGGAGTTCATCTCTGGACATGGTAGGTTTGAGATTCTTCTTAGAAACTCAAATAAAGTATGGACAGGCACTATGTGCCAGGAGGTAAAGGCACAATCCCAGCTATAGAAATAAACTGAAAAACACCAGGCTAGACGGGATAACTTAAAGCCATGGGCGTTAGAAGGATAGACTAGGGAGTGACTACAGATACAAGACAAGTTAAAGGAGACCCTGCTTAGGAATGGAGAGACAAGGAAAAGCCTGAAAGGAGGCTTGGAAACAAACAAGGGAAAACCAGACAGGGAGAGAGTTCACGTGGTTTGAGTACAGTTTTGCAAGCAGCAAAAAGGTAGAGAGATGAGAGATGATAACAGGCAGTAAGAAGAAAAAGGAGTCTATCGTGGGCGCAAATAAGTGTAGTTTTAGTAACACTGCTGTTATTAGTGATAGTGAATTAGTCATCTGCTTATTCACCCTTGTGTACAACAGAATGAAATCCTACTCAGTCCTGAATGATCCTAACAACTGGTTACAAATGGGACTATTTTGTTCAACAGGGTTTTCATTAGCTAATTTTCAGAAGCAGATTGCCAAGTTTTCTTCCTAAATCTATTTTAGTTAAAAACTCTTCTGAAACCTGTATCATCATGATACGGACACCCCCACAGTCAGGCTGTGCATGGGGGACACTGGGTGGGAATTACACCACAGTCCTCAAAACAGACGTCAACAATTCTACCAATCTCAAAGACAAGCTGGGCTACAAAATAGAGAGATAAAACAATTTAGAAAACAAACTACTCTCCGTTCTAGTTAGGAAGCCCAGTACAAACTGATTATTAAACAGAAATAGGTGATGTGAATCTCCATTTAAAATAGTGAACACCAGGATAAAATGGAAAACTGAAGTAAATGGAGGATTCTTCTTTCAAGTAATCAGATTGAGTGACAGTAAGTCCTTCACTTAAGAAATACCTACAAAGGGACTTCTGCCCCTGAACTCTCCTGACTGGAACACACAGAGAAGGCTTGATATTTCTTAAACCAAACGGAACAGGAGTGGACTCATTGCCATTTTCCACAGAACACTCTCCACTTTGGGAGTACCAGTTTACGGGCACTTCACACATCACGCTCCCCTAGGATATTACACACTTATAACAGCCTAACATCTACTAAGAAAAGATTCACGTAATGTCAAAAAAGCAGCAGGTAGCCTCAAACATAATGAAAAAAACAAGATAACCCTACTCCTTAAAAAGCACAGCATATTGCAGACCCAGTGAATACCCCACACAAAACAACCAGAAGAAATATGTTGATAGGGAGTTATTTATACAGCTACAGAAGAAGATACAAATGATGGAAGAAACAATGGAAGCCATTAATAAAGGGAATACTGCAGAGACCGGGAACCAGAAGAAATAAATAGATGAGAAGCACCTTTAACAACTACAAAATAAAATGCAAAAGATGGAAGAATTGAAACTATAGATAAAGAGGTACAAGAACTTAAAAAATCAGTACAAAACAGAGAGAATACAGCCAGCACAGTACTGTAAATAGCAGAAATGCATGAATATGCAATCCAAAATATTAAGACCAAAATGGGAGAAACGTCCAACACACTGGAGGGACAAAAATTTAAAACAGAAGTTCTGGAACAGAGAACCAGTGAGCTGGAAGACAAAAGCCTCAATGGAAATATACTAGAAGAAAAATCAGAGATGAGATACAAAGAAGATGAAGAAAACATACGAATCATGTGGGATGACATGAAAAGGAACAACTATGTATGACTGGAATTCCAGAACATGAGAAAGACAGAAAAATCACTGAGAAAATTGTGGAGGAGGTACTAGAAGAAAATTTCCCAGATATTATGAAGAACAGAGAAATCCACATCTGAGAAGCTCGGCGAACACCAAACAGACTAGAATAAAAAAAAAAGAATATCAAGACATATCATAGTCAAATTTTCCAAATTAAAAGGATAGAATACTAAAAGCAGTGAGAGAAACACAGAGTCACCTACAAACAGGAAACAATTATACTGAATTCTGATTTCTTAGCAGAAGCCATGCAAGCAAGATGAAAATGGAATGGTATATAAAGAAAGTTGAAAGAAAACAATTGCCAGCTGAGGATTCTGTACTCAGCAAGGCTGCCCATCAAATATGGGGGGGGGGGGGGAGCTGAATATTAGATCACTCACAGAAAAGAAGAAATTTGTGAAAACAAGACCAAAACAACATGAAATTATAAGGGAAGTCATTCACACAGAGACACCAAAGGAAAGTGGATAGATCACAGCAACACGAAACAACAGAAACACAGAAAAATTGTCAACCAAAAAACCTGTGCTGTCAATAATCACACTCAGTGTGAAGTGACTAAAGAACTAGATGTACGTAGCAGAAAGGAAAGGGGGGAAAAATCCCTCAATATGTTGTCAACATGAGACACATGTAAGAAACAAAGACAAAGACGGACGCTATATCAAAGGCTGGGGGGAAATACAGCAAGCAAATGGCATCCACATAAAAGTATCTCTGATAAAATAGACTTCATATTTAATGATTAAAAGCACAGTAGATTGGTCAACAATTATGCACCAAATGATAGACCTGCAAAATACATACAACGATGGTTAACAAATTTGAAGAAAGAAACAGCACAGCAGTCATAGGAGACTTCAACACTTAACAAAGATGTAGAGGATTTAAACTATACAATCAGCCAACTTGACCTTGTAGATGTATTCAGGGTACTATACCCAAACAAAACTCAATTCAAATTCTTCCCAAATGCACATGGTACATTTTCCAGAATCAATCACATAGTATGACACAAAGCAAGCCTCAGCAGATTAAAAATCACTGAAATAATACAAAATATTTTCTCAGACCACAATGCCATAAAGCTAGAAATTAACTACAAGAGGGTAAAGTTTACAAAACCACCCATGTGGAAGTTAAGTAACACCCGGCTAGAACACAATTGGGTTACAGAAGAAATAAAGAATAAAATAACAAAGGTCCTTGAAATAAAATAAAAATACAAAAGACCAAAACCTCTGGAATGAAGCTAAGGCAGTCCTCAAGGGGGGCAGCTCATAGCAATACGCAAACACTTTAAAAAAGGAAGAAAGATGCAAAATTAATGACCTAATTCAAGAGTCCCATAAAATAGAAAAAAGAACAACAATCTAACCCCACAGCTGATAGAAGAAAGGAAATAATAAGGGCAAGAGCTGAAATCAATGAGATAAAAAACAGGAAAAAAACAAAACCATCAAGATGTGGTTTTTTG